TTTGATCGCTGAATGCTGGAATGACCTGAAGGTCTCATCATCATTCGCTGAAGCTAGAGCAGTCTTCACACATAACTAGACATGCTTGTAATCACTGAATACCGCTTCAGATCACGTACGCGCCAGTCTTTAATCTTCAGTTTCAGTCTTCGACGTTTGCTGAAGGATCTTTGGTGTGAGTGTTGTTTTCTTGAAGTATTGTTGTCTCTGAATGAATTACAAAGCGAGTTCTTCAGCGATCACTGAACATACTCAGTGTAAAGATCGTTGGAACTGAAAATACAGAAACTAAAATTCATCGAAAGGAAAAAGGGATTATCATCAAATCACTGAGAGAGAGGATCAACACCAACCCCACTAGTCCACGACCATCTCTAGCCTCACTAGTCCTTGCTGGAGTTATGAGAAAGAAAGACATCCTCGTTGTATGTTAACGCTGGTGTGTGTGTAAATACAATATATATTTTTTTTTATGTTTATAAGAAAATTAGTAAAAACATAAAAAGACTAAAAAGTCCCTCACACTAACGGATATTATTAATAGAGTTAGCGACCAGAGACCATTTCTAGAGCAAAATGCAAACGACAAAGAAAAAACAAGGATGAAATCTAGACTTATTAAAGTTCATATCCCACTTTTAGACTTTTCACTAAACCTCAAGAACCAAAATTAGAGTTTATTCTAAAAATAATATAGTAGGATAAGTTGGATTAAAATAAAAGATAGAAAAAAAGAAGTTGTGTTCGATTAAAGTTGAAGTTTATGTAGTATGTATGTGGATGAGAGAGAAGGTAATTTTTTGATAAGAGATTGGATTGGTTAGGTCACCATCAAACAGTCTTCAATACTAGTCCTTTGTTTGGTGTTGTAACTAATGAGTAGGGGCGTTCATGCTTTAACCGAAACCAAGTAAAAACCGATCAACTGAAAGTTAAGGTGAGAACTCTAAGAACGGATCTGAACCTTTGATCAATTCTAATCTCACCCCACCCCATGAATTACGCTTGATACTGGAATTGATCTAGTGCATATCGGTGCACCGCATTAATGTTGATCTTCATTTAGGATTGATCTGAGGGTAGAGATCCCTTTTTACGCTTCTCACCATAATTTCCATTCTCACCAGAACTCAACCTTATACACACACACACATACTAGTAGGGTACTCGCATAATGCGGCGAGATGTCAAATAATTTTTATAAATCTAAAATATGAACTTTTATGTACCTACATGTTGCAACGCGAAGTAAAAACTTCTTGTGAACCAATAATAATTGTTTTTTGGAATTGCTTATTAAAAAGTTCATATTTTGTATGAAAAAAATAAGATTACAATATTTCTCTCAATTAATGAAGAACTACATAAAGTTCTTTTTCCCCCTAAAAAATGGATAAAACCTCCCGGAAAAACTTTATTACAAAGAACTAAAAATTACAAACTTAGGATGGGCATACATACCACTACGACAAACTGTAAACCCAAAACAAACAAGTTTAACTAGAATTCATTCCTCCTAATGTTCAATATATCATCAATTTATGTTGTTATTGTTCAAAATGTACCAATTAACAAAAACCACCATCATTCATTCATTCATTCTAGCAAAGGAACATCAAACTGTTTACATTCTTATGAAACTTCAGTATTTGAGAGAAAACCACATGTTGCACTTCCCTCACCATTGTGGCTCTATGCTGCATCAGATATGTCATCAAACTTGACAAATTGCACCGTTTGCACAGCTGTGATATGAGCATTACAGATCAGAGCAACTGCATAACAAAATATCATTCAACAAGAGTTATTGTATGAAAACCAAGGAGTATTTTGTAAACTCACAGCTCCAAAATCATATGTTCAAGATTAAGCCCATGAGTCAACTTAGTTAAGCATATATTACTGACAAAGATGGCAGGTGTGCTCCTTTGGTACCTACATAATCCGTAATCACCAAATCAATCACACTTCTTAATTACACATACTATAGAAAATGCACAAGCTCTTGCAAATCATCGGTAGAAAAACCAATCTGATCTAGAAGTACATGATAATGAGTAGGCTGAGTAGTACTCTAAATACCAACATAAAATCGAGTTAATTACTACAATATCATGAGTCACATATATGTCCAAAAGCTTTCATAAAACTCACAATCGATCCACTATGTGCACACAAGTAGAAGTCATTGTTCTTTGATGATATACTTTATTGTCGATGATTGTTCCTAAAATACACAAAAAAAGATCAAATTTGCGTTCATTTCCTACGTACAAACTATAAATCTTCAAGATTCGGGATTAAAACCCGGTGGTATGTTGGCTTTAGAATTTGGCTGGAAAAACTTTGTGTGATGAGTCTTTTGAGCCACAATCACCATAAACTTCAGATCGACAATCATCCTGCCTTCATTGATTTTGAGGAGATAGCAATTCTTTTGATCATCACAAGTTCACAACACCTCCAAGATCGACAAAACCCCAGAAAACTCAAATTCATGGTAACCACATAACTCCACAAAACAAAAGCGACAATAGATCAAAAGACAAATACATTTGAAAACAATAAGGTATGTGATAAGTTATGCGACCAAAGTTCGCATATAAACGTCGCGGGATTGGGAGAAATGGTTGAACCCAAAGAAAAATAACCAATCAATAAGTGATGAAAGCATAGACTTCTAAACTAACAACCAATGGACATAAATCAATTCGAAGCAATATGATAAATGGTCAATTCAACAAATGCTCAAAACAGGATCTATCAATAGAAAACATGAACCTTCTCTTGTCTACTCTGTGGGTGATTCTGAAGAATGAGATCAAGAAAGAACAAGTTCAAAAAATTGAAAAATAGCTGTTACTAACATGCATTTTCTGTATTTGGGCCGAGGCCTAAACCGGGCTTTGGTTAAAAATCGAGCCTTAAAAACAAGAGCAAAATACACAAAATAACAATCTACTTTCATAATTTTTTTTGATTAACTTGGATATCCAACCCGCTATGCGAGTCGACTAATCCAGGGCGACAATGTACTTCCATTTTTTCTTATTACAACAATGTACTTTCAAACTATTTTTTTTAGAACATTATACTTTGAAAATTTACCTATTATAGCATTGGGTAATCTTTTGATTTAGATTTACCCATTATACCAGGTTTCCATGTCACCTCATTGTCCACGTAGGCTGTCCACATGTACTATAGTGATGTGACTTTTTATTACAATATTGTACTTTCAAAATTATTTTATTATAGCATCTACTAGTTCTTATTAAACAATGTACTTTTAATTTTAATATTTAGATATTTTACATGTTATTTATTAAATATATTAAATGAATTAAAAAAATTTAGAATTATTCATTAATATACCTATATTAATAAAACTAATAGAAAATAACTTATCTCGCTAATATTTTCAAAAAAAATATGTGCTTTTTGAAAGAAGAAAAAAAGATTGTTCCTTTTTTTACCAAAAAAAATATTATTTTTTAAAGAATATATTATATTTGTTCAAAAACTTTTACTTGACATATAAATATATTAAATTAGTTAGATTTTTTTTTGAATTATTTATTAATATAACAATATTGAAAAATTGTAGAACACAATTTATTTCGTTAACAATTTCGAGAGAACTTTAAAAGATATGTATTTTTTTGAACAACATAAAATAAGAAATGTTACATTTTTTACAAACAAAATATATTTCAAAAATAATGTATAATATTTATTTAAGAAATATTTTACTCTAGAATATGTAATTTACATGCAACTTAAAAATTAAATGTATTTTTAAATCATAACAATGAAAAATGAAAATCATTAATAATAATTTGAAATAGGTTTTTATTTTTATTTTAATTAAGTCATCAAAATAATGTGTCATCCACATCAATTCATTAAAGTCACACAAACAAAAAAAGTCAAGGGATTAACTGATTTAAATGTTAATAAGTTATTCATTGATATAATAGGTAGATTTTTTAAAGTGCGATACTTTAATAAAAAATAACTTGAAATTACATTGTTATAAAAAAAACAAAAATATAATGCTATAATAATTTGTTTTATTAAAATAGATTATTATTTCATGTATTTAACCTTAAAAATAATAAGCAGTTTATACTTGAAGTAGACCGGTTCTCTAACCGGTCCAAAATGGGTCGGGCTTAGAGTCAACATGCATGTTTAGAATAACATTTATGCAATCAAGTTCAAGATTATGTTTAGGCCCACATCCAAACAAACCGCCAAATTGCCAATTGCCAATTGCCTTCCAATCACTCATTTCCCAAAATTGAAGCTCAGATCGACTCGCCATAGTCTACCAACCACCATCACCACCACCACCAGACGGTGCACACCCATGGCTTCTGCAACCCTCGTTCCTCCCTATTCATCTCACACTTCACCACCATTACCGAAAGTTTCTAAGTCGTCTCCCTTTCTTGCTTCTCTCTCTACCTCCCCAATTTCCTTCTCTAAAAAACCAATATTTCGTTCATTAACATTGGTTCCTCAACAGGGTTTAGCTTCTTTTTCAACTTGGAACGGCCTCAGGCAAAATGGGTTTTCTATCTCCCTAAAATCTTTGAGATTTGGTAAGTTCTTATTTTGTTTCTCTAGTATAAGCAGTGTTCATATACCCTCCTTCAGTCTGTTTCAAATCAAACTTAGGGTTTTTCTAAGTTGAAAATGATGTAAATTTGTGTTATGAAACTGACCAACATCATTCTATTTGTAGTAGTTGTTATGAAGTTCAAAGTCAAACTTAGGGCTTTTCAAGTGGAAACTGATGTGAACTATTTGTAGTACTTGTTATATGAAGTTGGTTGGAGCTTGCAAAAATCAATAGCTTGAATTGCACATCAATTTTGAAATTTGAAAAGCTAATCAGTTTCACATGGTTATATATTTTGGAACAGAGATTATGGATGAATTTGTGCATAAGTTGATATGATTTTGTTGATTTGATGTATGCAGAAAAGAGAAGGAAACATGGAGGGAAAGGTGTGTATGCTTCTTTATTTGGAGTTGGGGCTCCTGAAGCTTTAGTTATTGGAGTGGTGGCATTGTTGGTTTTTGGACCTAAAGGTCTTGCTGAGGTAAGGATTAGTTTGGGTTTGCTTGAAATCCTTCATTTCTTGATCTCCTTGTTATCGTTTCGTATGGTAGTTGTATGCGGTCTTGCGACACGATTAGACTTGTGAGATTACATGAACTACGATCTCTGATACCATGGTAAATTTAAGTCGAGGAGATTTATGATTGTCTACTCAAAATGGGAGATAGACGAATGGAATAAGATCTTAATTCATAGTCGTGCTACAAGTATTTCAAATGCGAAAGGGAAGATAATTGATCTACTTTCTAGGAGATGATCATTGTTATGTATCTACAATTTTACAGATAACTACAATAACTTGAATGAAACCATATGAATCAAATTATGTCACAACTCTTGATATAATGGCTATGAAATCTTTTTAAAGGACTAAATATGAATTTGAGAGGCCGTTTACCAAACGCTTATCGGGTAAGCGCTTACCTGTAAAAGACTTTACCCACACTTACCTTATCATGTAAAATTTTCGGCCATCAAAATGGATTGTTGGTAAGAGTGTTAAACCTGGTAAGTGCTTACCGGGTAAGAGTTTTTTTTTCTCACTTATTGGATAAGACTCTTGGTTCTTGTTATCGCTCTTACCGGGTAAGATTCTCAATGTTTATCATGTTCATTCGATAAGGTAAAGTGACCTGGTAAGCACTTACCGGGTGAGCGTTTAGTACACGGCCCTTAAGATACATGTATAAAAGGGACTGAATCTTGTTAATCATACTTTACATTCGGAAATGGTGACTTTGTGCAGTCAGTGAAAAATTATGCTTCATCCGTCTCAAAATAAGTGTCCGTATTTCTATTTTAGTTTGTCCCAACACTAACAAAAAGTAAGTGCCTACTTTTTGGTCCTACCCTTAAATTATGAGACGGAGAAATTCATTACTCTCTCCATTATTAAGAGTAAAATTGTCATTCAGTTAACTAAAAGTGTAATAGTTACATGTTTCTAAAACTGTGTCTTTTTCATCGTGAACATGTATTTTGGGATGGAGGGAGTGGTACTTATAGACAGAATCTCTTTTAGACCCCACTAGGGGAGTACTTGAGGTGAGGCGAGATCGACCATGGTCAACTTTTGGCTTGCAGAGCGTTGGGCATGGTTAGCGTAAAGCTTTAGCGTTGTTAGCTCATATTGGCTTTGTTTGTATGAGATCGTATGAAACTTAAATCTAACACTAAACGAAACGAAAATTGATCTTTTAAGTACTCAAGAGACTTAACACTAACGGTTTTAAAAATATGTGGATTACAATAATTGCCGTGCATAAATTTTGTAAGTCTGTCGAAGCTTTGTTTTAGAACTTGGTAACTCTGTTGCCTTCTTGCATGCTAATTTTTGCGGTTTCTTATCATGAAAAAACAAACTCCAGGTTACATGTGCTCTAAACTGCATGTTATAAAGTTCAGTGTGTTCTTCCATAAATTTTAAAGATTATGTAGCTGAAATTTTCAGTTTCGTTTGATTTTCATTGTGCAAATTAACCGATTTCAATTGCAGATTGCTAAGAATCTGGGAAAAACATTGCGGGCATTTCAACCAACGATTAGGGAACTTCAGGCAATGCAAACAAACTAATTTATTACCGAAAAATGTTATCTTGAAACTATTCATATGTTTGAAATAACTTGGTGGTGCAATTTTATAGGAAGTTTCAAGGGAATTCAAGAGCACCCTTGAAAAAGAAATTGGTCTTGATGAGCTTCAAAATACGGCACGAGGTACCACCTCCAACGTACCTACCTTATCCTCGACCCCTCCATCTGAAAATTCTCTGGCGACACCAAAAGAAACAGCTGCTGCTGCCACCGAGGAAGATTCTCAGGTGACAGGAACACCGATTGCTGCCAGTGGGCAGGATGCGCAGGTGTCAGAAACACCTGGGGAGGATTCTCAGGTGGCAGCAACACCAGTTGCTGCCGATGGGAAGGATGCGCAGGTGTCAGAAACACCTGGGGAGGATTCTCAGGTGGCAGCAACACCAGTTGCTGCCGATGGGAAGGATGCGCAGGTGTCAGAAACACCTGGGGAGGATTCTCAGGTGGCAGCAACACCAGTTGCCGCCACCACAAATGCTGCCACCACTGGGGATTCTGAGGCGGTAGCAACGACTCCTGCTGCCACCACAAGTGATTCTCAGCCTACAATCAAGTCTAGTAAGTAGTCTCCACCATGGAACTCCTGTTTCCACCCTTCTTTATCATCTAACGTCTTTGGTATAATCGGTGACAGATTCTGTTGAAGAAGTTGGTGCCGGGATGCATCTGGCTCAGAAGTCGGAAGATGTGAATTAAGAGCCAGAAAAGATTTTGAACTTTAGACGTTAGATGAGAAGAACAAAAACGATCCTGCATTTCTATTTCAGAGATATCGGGTGCTGGCCGTCCATTCATATGTTGTGTTTGTATCTTAATTAAAAAAGGATAGGAAGTCATTTACACGATTGGTGTAACGTAGCATATTATCGGCAAACAACATAAGTTTTCAACACGAGTCGGGGCGATGTTTGTAGGGTCTCAAATAAAATCGTTGCATTCTAATCACAGGGCTGTCTCTTAAGTTTCAACCTCTTTGGCTAGTATCGATTTTACGGTTCTTTTAAGGGTGCGTTTGGTATGGTATCCAGACATTATATAACAACTATTTAACAACTATTTAAGGTTTGGTAAGGAGAACATAACAAATAAATTTATTAACGATGAGTTGTTTATATATTTTAATTAATTTATGTAGTTTATTAAATTATAATAAAATATATTATTATAAAGTTTATGTTAAGACGATTAAAATGTCATAAAAATAATTTTTTTTTATTTTTTTTTATTTCTAAGTTATATTTTATATTCTTATAATTAGCTTTTTTTAATTTATTCTAAATCTTTAGTTTTTCATTTTACACTTTTATTATATTAACTATAAATAGTTGTATATTAATTAAAATGCATTAAAAATACAATTTTTTTTTATATATGAGAGCACCTGGAGAGGGAGAGATCGAGAGAACCAAGAGAGATCGAAGCTTGAAATCGAGCTAAGCTATCAGAGAGACGTTGGAGGTAGACGATAGTTTAAGAGGTATTAAGGATAGGGTTAGCACTTAAAAATTCCGGGAACATCAATTGGGCAAATTGTATGAAAAAGTAACGTACTTTAACTTGATTTCTATTTTGGGTAACGTACTTTCAAAACTTCCGTTTTGGTACTTAAGATGTAAAGTTTTAAACATTTAAGTACCCGGGTAACTGGTTGAAGTATTAACCGATTATCATGTTGATGTGGCGAGTGATTTGGTATCCAACTCAATATTATTTGTTGACGTGGTCAGTGACGTGAATTTTTTTAAATCTAAAATTAGTCTTCACCGGGTTATCCGGGTACTTAAATGTTTAAAACTTTATATCTTATGTACCAAAATGAAAGTTTTGAAAGTACGTTACCTAAAATAGGAATTAAGTTAAAKTATGTTACTTTTTCATGCAATTTGTCCACATCAATTCAACTCTTATTTTGAAAAAAAAACAGATGTTCTGAAAATAGAATGGTTGACCGATTCAGACTTAAGAGGTGTTTAAGAGGAAATTTAAAAAACAAACAAACAAGACCTTAGTATTCAAGAAAAAGAATACATAATTGAATAAAGGTGTATAATACAAAAGGTAAAATTACAAATTTACCCTCATACTTAACGCAAAAAATAGACAGCCGTTTGTCTCAGAGATCAAATCCATAAAGAACTTTTGCCACAAGGACCAAATCCAAAAAGGTCTATATATGTGGAGGGTCCTTGTGTAATAAATGAAGTTAAAGAGACCAAATCCATAATTTTTGACATACCTTAGGGACCAAATCTGCAATTTACTGTACAATAAATAAAATTTAAAGAATGAATAAAATATAAAAGGAGATGAGTATTTGATATTTTAGAAGAAAATTAGGTTTTATTTTGAGTATATATTGATAAATTTAATTAAAACAATATTATTTTTAATAGAATAAGAAAAAAGAAAGAACAGAGTAACATATGAAAAAATGGTTGGTTGTTTTGCTACCAAATAACCTCCTATCTAAACCTAAATTCTTTTTATCAATCCCTTAAACTCCATCACCTCTAACATCACAATTCTTTCTATAGGTCTGTTTCACTTTGTTCCGTGGGATGAGTGGAACTTTGTTCTTGTTTGTTCCACATAAAAGTCTTATTAAACATGAAATAATGATCTGTTTTATGTTTTGTTCTTTCCTTTCCAATATACCAAACACACTCTAAGTGTTTATTAGATGTCTAGTTTAATGTAATGAAATGAGTTATTATCAGATAAATATGTGGAAATATTTTTTGTCTAAAAATGCAAGGTTATAATCGAATAATAGATATTAAATATTAAAAAAAAAAGTCATTCAGTACAAATTATATCTTTTCAAATAGCTAATATGGTCTTTTTATAAATCTGGAAAACCTCAATGTTGTGTTAAACATAATACAATAAGTAGGGTTGTGTAGAAAGTCATCTAATGTGTAACATCCTAAATTTTGGAAGAGATCGCTAATTTAAATTTTTATAATACATTAATTGAATGATAAATTAATTTCTAAACGACAATACTCGAATTACCTAAAATGATAATTATGGTTTAACATCAATAAATTACATACCAAATCTTTTATTGTATCTAGGATAGGGACGAGTGTTATTAAAAACCAATAACAATCGCAATCTCCAAAGTACAGAAAATGTCCCAAAAAGCTAAATCATTCTCGAGTCTCTAACTAGCACTCAACTCTTCACAAGTGTCGTTAGTACCAAACCCCACAAGGATTTAATGCACATGTCAACAAGAAAAAATGTTATTAAATCCTAGTGAATTCAAGCAGTTTATTTAAATGCAAAACAAGAACACTGAAAGAACACTCTTTAAATAACGATTTTCCCCAAGTAGTAATTGGATGAAAAATACATGACATTTTTTGAACATCATATTTTACTCAACTACTCCAAAAAGGCAAATATATCTTTCGATGATTGGGGAGACCCATTTCCATTGAATATGGCGGAACACAAAAGTAGGTCACGTATCAAAGTTATCTAATTACACTCCAGATTCATTGACTTCAGTATCCACTATGTCAAGTGTCACTTTAAGTCCTCAATATCTTTAGCGTTCACATTATCGTGTTCACCTCAAGGCCATCATATCTTTAGTGCACACTTTTTCGAGTGTCACCTCAAGAATACCAAATCTTAGTATCCATTCGTTCTCTAGTTGAGTTCCACCTCAAAGGTTTCCATTCGACCTTTAGTGTCTACTCACAACATTTAAGATATGAACCTCAAACTTCCTACTTGATAACACAAAGCAATTAACCCTCATACATGAGGGTTAAAACATCAAAACGACAGACTTGACAAATTATAGCATGACAGATCAAACATACCTGATGACATGTATATTAAAAGAAATTATGCAATTATGAGCATCTAATGTTCACATACACAAATGAACACCCAAAAGTTGGGACAATCCCAACACAATGTTTAAAAATGATTTGAACATCAACTAAAGACTATAACTTATGGGACTTAACGTCTTATAACGTCAAATTACCTAAATTCATGCATTTCTTAACATTTATACAAGTAAATGTGTCAAGTGCCCAAATGGGTCTAACAATCAACCAACGGTTGTAAAAACCACAATAACTCATAAGTTGGACAATCCCAAAATCTACAATAACTTTTCAACTCAATTGACTAATTCAATAAGAGACCTCATGAATCCTAAAAATGCATTTTAAAGAGTTTTAAGCAATCTTATAACTGAAAATATAATAATATTCGTTAAAATCTCATTTGATGCAACAAATCTTATTAATAATGAACTCTTATGATATACTTATATTACAAAATACCCAATAACTCAACATGAACATTCTTTAATGAGTTATGAGACAAAATGCATCCAACAAACCAATCATAAGCATTTCTCAAATATTTATAGCATTAATATACCAAAGTACAATCATGTCAAATAATCATCATTGTATGCAATATATATCAAAAGATCACACTTTTATGATTTGCATACAAAATGTCAAAAAACCCCAAATGTAATCATTTTTCAAACTTTATAAAGTCAAATATACCAAAGATGCAATTTCATCAAATAATCAATACATTCGATATATATATATATATATATATATAGGGGCACGTTCAAATGAAAACCGTGCATTTCTAAGAAACCGTGTAAACCAATTTCGACCAATAGGAAAATTTCATTTTTTTCTAATTAAAATTAATCAATAAGGGTATTTCAGTCATTTACAATATTTTCTATTAAATATGGAAGTTATTAATAAATCTTAATTAAGGAAACATAATAAAGGAAATTGTATAAATGGTAACATTTAAATATTTAATTATATTATAATATTAAAAATTTGAATTTCATATATTGTAATCTTTAAGAATCAGCAAACGGGTTTTGATGAAACAATTGAAGTGTATAATGAAATCATCAAATCGTAGATGAACAAAAAAAAATCCAGAAATGAAACAGGTTTCATGAACGTGAAACTGGTTCRTGTTGCAAWTAAATTATGTGAACCGAAACATTTTCATGGTGAACCTGTTGCATTGATTGTGTAGTTGATCCATTTAGTTGGTGAAGAGGAAAATGAAACCGGTGCATTTTGTATTTGATGCGTCATGAACTAAGTGCATGATGAAACGAAGAAATGATTTTAATCTGCTACAGAATCTTTAAGATTGTAACCTGCTCCAGAATCTTGAAGATTGTAATGCTTAAATGAATGAATCCATCAAATCAATGGTGAAATAAGAAAATTACTGTACATGAAATAGGTTTCATGAAAGTGAAACTGGTTCATGGCGTTCTTGAGCATGACTAGTGAAACAGTTGCATAATGTATTTATTTCGTCATGAAATAATTGAATGATGAAACGGGTACATGAAGAAACTGCTTCAGAATCTTGAAAATTGTAATATGCTTTAGAATCTTAAGATTGCAAGGCTTAAAGGAATTAATGCATCAAAACCAGGAACGAAAGGAAGAAAATAATTTTGCATGAAAAAAGATTCATGAAAGATCGAGTARGATGTTACCAAATATTAAATTTTGTTTACCATTTATGCCCTTACTGTTGAAATAAAATAAAATTTTAATATATATATTTATTTAATTTCCTAAAATAAAGTAAACTAATTTTGGCCATTGATCAAGAAAAATGGATGGATGAGATTGATTTACACGGTTTACACAAATGGGACCGGTTTTTATTTGAACGCTCCT